TCAAGCTTTTTAGCCTGGGTTGAGCTGCTCAACCCATTGAACCCAATGGGCGATTCTCGGGTTTGGTGCGAGTAGCTCAACCCAGGCTAAAAAACGTGACTCGGAAATTGGGCGATTCTCTCATCTCCTCCTGCTCCCTCTTTCGCCTCTGCGTGTTTGCGCTCCCTGAGCCCTCGGGAATTTTTAAAAGTGAGGGCAGGGGAGAGAAATCAGCCCCAGCGGTCTGGGAGACTTCCATCTAGGTGCCTCTCTCTGCTTTATAATCTTTGTTTAATGTTGCCTTTCTCCTAAGCCAAGAAGGGCCCGGGTATCCGCGGTTAGGATATTTAGTTGTATATAATTTACACCCTGATCGTGAATCGATCCGACACCTCTGGATGGAGTCTCTCTCATTTTTCACGCTCTTTGCGAGGTGGTGAAATAATATCCTCTCATTAGGAGGCTGCGAAGCTTGGCTAATTTATCCAAACTGTCAGAGCCGTGTACTTCCTCGGGTTAAAAATAAATCAGCGAAGAACGCGCCCCCCCCCTTCTCCTCCTTCCCCCCCCAGTCCGCCGCAACACAGGCGCGCATATATATATGTACACACACACACACACACCAACGGAACCGATTTATCAACAAAATTAAAGTCGCCTCCGTCGAGCCGGATTTTTACAAGCCAACAAGAGAAGAGGTTTAAGAAATCAGGGATAAAATAATGAATAAAACCTCTCCCTCCCCCCCGGCCGGGTTTGTTCACAAGTGAGCGGCGAGCGACCCAAAACTGCAAGGCGTTTGTTGGGAAACGTTTTTTCCTCGACTTTGTAACCGCCTCGCAAAGCTACGGAGTAGTGGGGCGGGGGGGGGGGGGAGAAGAGGAAGGGAAGTCTTTCCAGAGGCCAAGTCTTTGCTCAGGCCGCCGATCGAGCCCCTCCGCCTGAAAACCTGGAAGTTTTCCACGCACCCCGAAAAAAAGCCCTGAAAGGGCAGAAGCCGACATACCGGGCCAGGGCAAAGATCGGGGGACCCACGCATCCAAACAGCCATCCGAATCTATAGTTCTAAACTTGCCCTGGAAAGCATGTCTTTTCCAACCGCCCCAGCCAGGTCAACTCCCCCCTCGCAGAACACCCAATCCTCTCCCCTCTAACTCTCCCCTTCCCCTCCAAAAAAATTGCCACAGCCCCCCTCCTCCACAAGCACAAATTTCCAAAAAAAAAAAAAAAAGCCCCTCTATTTGCCTCGAGTAGTTTATTCTTGGGGGGGGGGGAGAGAAAGGAGGGAAAAAATAATAATAATATAAGAGCTCCAAGCCTTCGCGAAACGAGGCTCTTGAAAATTACGCCGGATAATTAATTGAGCAAATTTGTTTCTATTAAATAAAAATAACACGTATTGGAGAACTCAATTAGCATTAATTAAGCTTGATATCCTAATTTGGAAGATGTGTAATAGAAAACAAGCAGTTTGGGAAGGGGGGGCGGCCGCTTCTTTCCCCCACCCGCTTCCTTCCTCCTCTCCAATCTGCCCCCCCCTTCCTCTCCCCTCCCCTAGTCCCCCCCCCCTTCAAACCAGCTTTCTCTCCTTGGCTGTTGGAGAGAGAGAGAGGCGCACGAGGCGTTTCTCTGCCTTTGGGCTGGGTGGGTTTTTTTTAAGTCCCCCCTCCCCTCTCCTCCCCTCCCCTCTCCTTGGAGAATTGGAAATGAGAAATGGAGATGGGGAATCAGAAGGTGCTAAATTAGCTAGCTGATCTGCGCTTATTGCCGCATACGCATTCTCCCCCATTACGGGCGGCGCGCGGTGGCTCTCTGTTAATATTCCGGGCATGGCGCGCCCGTCTCGATAGCAGATTTATCAAATGGGAAAATGAATGTATGATGATCAGTTAAATTGAAAATCAGCTCCTGCATGACAGGCCGACCTGACACCTCCGTAATTAGAAAGAAAAATGATCGCGTCCGATGCATAATAGAGCAAAAACAATTTACACTCTCCCATAATGATCCGCCGTTCAAATTGAAAATTTCTCCTGGTAGAAATTGAATTCATAAAGTATGATTCATGGGCGAAGGCGGCTCCTGCAGGCTGCCCGGGATCAGATCGATTGATAGTTTGTCTAGAATCACACAGCCTGCTGCTTTGGGGGGTTTGGCGAGCGGGGGGGAGGGA